CAGAAGACACCGAACAATCGATTGGTAACGTGTCTCGGAAAGCGTCGCAGAAGTGTGTCTATGCAAGTCTTCTGATCGAGGGACGGTCTGTGCGATTCCAGTTAGACACAGGCGCGACGATCAATATTTCGCCCAGAAAGCACTGCCGCGGCGTGCAAATTCAATCGGATCAAGATTATTTGCGCATGTGGAATGGTTCCAGACTCAAGCCAAAGGGCTCAGCGACAATTGAAGTGGTCAATCCGAGAGACGGTGTTTCGCATCGTCTGCAGTTCGTGATCGTGGATGAGGATCTCACGTCGATTCTCGGCATTGATTCGATTTTATCTCTTGGCTTTGTCATTTTTAACCATGATCGTTTTGTGTACGCTTGTCAGAGTGAAGCCGATGTTAGTGACCTGTATCCGTCTGTGTTTAGCCCGGGTTTAGGGGAATTTGAGGGTACCGCTCACCTGTCGTTAGATCCTTTGGTACGCCCGATTGCGTTACCTGCTAGGAGAGTCCCATTTGCGCTACGTGACCGATTTTCCGCGGAATTGAACAAGCTGGTTATGCAGGGTGTGATTGCAAAGGTTGATGAGCCAACAGACTGGGTTAGCCAGGTCGCAATCATTACGAAGAAAAATGGCGAACTACGCGTATGTATAGACCCAAAGCCACTGAATGAGGCCCTGCGTAGAGAACATTATGCGCTACCGACGTTAGAAGATGTTTTAGCACATTTGACAAAAGCTAAGTTTTTCACGAAAGTGGACCTTTCTTCCGCATTCTGGCACTTTGTTCTAGACGACGAATCCAGTTTCCTCACCACATTTGCTACACCGTTCGGACGTTATCGTTGGCTGCGATTACCGTTTGGCCTGAAGGTGTCTAGCGAAATTTTCCAAAAGCGTTTGGTGCAAGCAATAGATGATTTAGATGGCGTAACCTGTGTGGCAGATGACGTTCTGATTTACGGTTCTACCGAAGAAGAGCATGACACTAAGCTACACCGGTTCCTGAGGCGTTGCGTGCAAAAGAACATCAAGCTAAAACGCGAGAAAGTAGAGCTGCGGAAAGAGGAGGTGATTTTCCATGGGCATGTGTTAACATCCGACGGAATCAGGGTTGACCCAGGGAAGATTAAGGCGATACAAGAGATGCCGTCCCCTAACGATGTGAAGGCAGTCCATCGCCTAAACGGTATGGTGAATTATTTATGCCGGTTCCTACCAGGACTCGCTGATGTCATGACTCCGATTAGGCAGTTAACTCACAAAGGAGTAAATTGGAGCTGGGGGAAGGAACAGGATTTGGCTTTCGCAACCATTAAGAACCTTATCAGTAATGCGCCCGTACTCGGATATTACGATCCAGCACAACCATTGGAGGTACAGTGTGATAGTAGCCAGAGTGGAATAGGTGCTGTTCTGTTGCAGAACGGAAGACCTTTGGATTTCCGCAGTCGAGCACTCACAGAGGCCGAGAAGCGGTACGCACAGATCGAGAAAGAGATGCTGGCAGTGGTCTATGCCATGGAGCATTTCAATGATTATACTTTTGGAAGAAAGACAACCGTGTCCACTGATCATAAGCCGCTGGTGTCGATAGCCACTAAACCACTGAATAACGTTCCTCGCCGTCTGCAGCGTATGCTTATCCGGCTCCAAAAGTATGACAATGACATTGTGTACACACCTGGCACACAGATGTTCATCGCGGACACCCTGTCGAGAGCACATCCGCCAGTGGCCGAACATCATCTAGAAGAGATCGAGACAGTTAGCATGGTGCAGCATCTGGCAGTGACAGAAAACCGTTTGAAAGGCATAAGGCGTTTCACGGAGGAAGACCAAACTTTTGCAGCTTTGCGAGACGTTATCCTCAATGGGTGGCCAGAAACAAAGAAGCAGCTGCCGAAGGAATTAACACCCTACTTCAATTTTCGGGACGAACTCACTGTCTGTGACGGTCTGTTGTTCAAGGGAAGTCGAATCCTAATCCCTTCTTCTCTCCGAAAGGAGATGCTGGAGCATGTCCATCGCGCTCACCTGGGTGCAAATTACACCATTAATCGAGCAAGAGAACTGATGTTCTGGCCAGGGATGACAGGTCAGATCAAGGATCACGTGTCTAGCTGTGAGGCGTGCCGTTCACACGACATTCGGCAAACGAAGGAACCGATGATGCTGCATGATGTTCCGGACCGACCGTGGCAAAAGGTAGCAGTGGATCTATTCTGGGACAACGGAAAGGATTACTTACTCACGGTGGACTACTATAGTGATTACTTTGAAATCGATTTACTCACCATCACGACCACCACGACTCAGATGTCAATTCGCGCGGCACGGGATACCGGAGGAGCTAGTCTCGGACAACGGTCCCCAGTTCAGCAGCAGGGCATTCCAGGCTTTCGCAACCAAATGGGAATTCGCACACCGGCAAACCAGTCCCTATCACAGTTAATCAAATGGGAAGGCAGAGTCGGCAGTGAAGCAAGCCAAGCGACTATTGGTGAAGGCTAGAGATACTCGGGAGGACCCATACCTCATGCTACTGGAGAGCCGCAACACTCCTTCAACGGATATCGGCCTGAGCCCAGTGCAGCGCCTATACAGTCGAAGGACCAGAACTGTGATGCCTGCATCCTCAACACTTCTGCGCCCTGTCACGCCACAACTTGAGAAAGTACAGAACAGTTTGAAAAGGCGAATGGCTACTCAGAAACGGTACTACGACAACGACGCACGGGAATTACCTGAGCTGACAGTGAGGAAGAAGTATGGGTTGAACCGATTCCCGATGAACAGGAACGGTGGAGAAAAGGAGTCGTGGCTGCGAAAGTCGGTGAAAGGTCATACGAAGTAAATGTTGCAGGGAAGAAGCTGAGAAGAAACCGAGTACAGCTGAGGAGATGTCCGAGGCGACAGCATGAATCAGGGAGAGAGCGTTATACTGCGTGCGGCAATGAGGCGACATCGGCAGATCCAACAAAGAGGACGCGGTGTGGTAAAGTGTATGGATTATTTAGCAAAGTACAGCAGTAAGAACATGAAAAAAGGGAGGATGTGATGGGAGTATACACTCGAACGAACGTGCGGCGCCAGCCCAGCTAGGAAGCCGTTAGGCTGCCGCAAGGAAAGGCGGCAGCTGGTTGGACGTTCACACGTTTCTCGCATGCACGCTGATTGGCCAACAGTTGGACGCATTGGAGTGAGTTTGTTTGACTGAATCAAAGGAAAAATGTCATGCATTCACAAACGTCGTTAATTATGGATCCAACTAGCTGTATATACCGATATGTTTCACTCGCCCTCTGCCTGCGTTTTCGCCTGGTCCTTTTGTCCCTGAAGGACCGACTTTTTACAGTCGGTTCTGTTTCACAGAAGTGAGGCCAAGTCTACTATGCACACATTTTGTATCACCACTGGTAGAACTTTCCAGAACAAAACAACTCTCTCAGATGTTCTACTGCAACTGGTATCCACAAAAGAGTAAGTTTATTACGTCGTCCTACTCATGGTCTGCGCAATACACTGAGGAGGTGGCCTGATCGACTCATGTCCTAATGAAAAGCTTATGTATTTGCGCTCATGGTACTTGCGCAAATACTTCCAGTTGGTTTTCCATGAAAATCATGTATAATCTCCTAAAACTTTGAGACAGTGTTTACCAAGTTACTGATGAAAGTATGTATTAATCCATCGATCAATTCCTCTGCCCTTAAGTTAATGTTCCGGGATGCGTTCTTCGCCAACACCTTCTCCTCATTTTAATCAGCGTATCGATAACGCTCACTTGTTAATGCTCCGAAAAGCTTCTTCTTGGGCCTCTACACAACACAAGTGCCGTCATGTTTGCCTATCAGCAAGGTGTTCTCGCTCGCACAGCGCTCAATGCACTCTGCTAGAGCAGATTGGTCAGTTCGTTGCCTCATAGTACAATCTTGTATTTTATTTTTGTAGAAAGTACAAGCCACGATTAAACTTTGCACAATAATCTGCCTTGTATTTGTAGGTAAAGTTCAGTGGCAAATAATTCACCCTTTCACAAAAACAGCAAAATCGAGGATGCACGTCATTTTATCGATCTGTGATGACAGTATGTAATCAGAAGGACGAGACGGAGCTACTTGACGGAGCAGGCAGCTAGATTACCACAAACGAACGGAAGTAATGTTTGGACGTCTATGCGTCTACGCTGGTTGGTCAACAACTGGCTACGTTGGAATGAGCTTGTATGACGGAAGTGAAGGATAGATCTCAGGAATTCAGAAAAGCCGTGATTTATGGAAGCTTCTTAGTTATGTAAATGGTTTTTGAGCCAGTTACGCTGTCATTTTGCTAAGATTACTTTGTGGAATAAGCCCATTGTCCCTGAAGGACTTTGTTCTGTGACAGCCCCTAGCTCCAGAGACATATGGTAACCACGGGCTGTTGATGATAGTCGTTTACATCAGTAAATTCGCTAGATCAGTGCAACTGAAAAACAAAAGGGACAAACCTCGTTTTGCTGAGTCGAATGCCCCAAGGAAAATTGACGGGTCAGTGACAGACTCGATGCTGAGTATCTGCACTAGATTCATACACTAAAAAGACGCACAGAAAACAACACATTTGTGCCCCCTAAAGTGGAACCACAATTTGTAGCTACAAGTTGAAATTTTACGACTAGTCTCCTACAATGCATTAAGTTGCAACTTACGAGGACCTAGACGTTGGTTTGCTTCTTCTGCGGATGTCTGCAGCCTAAATGAAATCCATGGAACCGAACCTACCCGTTCAAAGTCGATTTGATGCTGTAAGTTTCAAGGTATCGATCCACAACATTCTGGTGGCCTACGTAAGGCTGTTTGGTACCGAGCATTTAACCACATCCACCATCTCACCGAAGGCCCACACTGCTTTTTAAATTCCCAACTCGTTAATCAGACCAACACATTTAATTAACCGACGTCGCCTTTACCACGAATTCAGGTGATGCTGGTTCACTTTGTGTGGGCATCAGGAGTTGCCACTACATGCGCAGAACTTTAGTATAGTAATCAAAACATGCTCATTATTTACAGTTTCAAATTAAATCGATAACCATGATAAGCGTGATCAACTAGCCTTGAAAATGAGTATTGGCACGCTGATGCGAACGGCTGCCAGGGCATAAGATGCACCTGAAAGCATAGTTCAAAGCACTCAGATCAAACAGATAGGTTAGTATGAAAAGTAGTAGTTGGACTGAGGTGGTCGTCAAACTGGGGGGACGGTCTCTGTCAAGATGTTCGTGTTGCATGTCCGCTTCGATGGAACCACGTATTCCGTAGCGTTCATTCTACTGGTTGATCCTGCTGTAGTTGATACTTTATCATCCCCGTCCTCACTTTGAGTTTGAGGGGAGCGGGCCAGAGCCATGGCAAGGAAATTCTTCCCTACACCAAACTGGAGAGATTGCTTATGCTGTCTTTCATCGCCCATGAAAGCTGGGTTGTTTGGTGCTTTTGTATATTCTTTCGAGCAATCTAAATTCTTCACAGCTTCAGCCGCACTCTCAATGTAGTGGACTGTTTCGCTGGACCACGGATGCGCATTCCATTGCTGTTTATCGCTGTCATCAGCCACAGGTGATCTATCACTCGATTCCAGGTGACCAGAGTATCCTCCACTGACGTCATCATTTTCATCCAGGCCTTCGGGGATAAGGACTCCTTCTTCATCTGACTCACTATCGTATCCTCCGTCTGGGCGATCTACCTCATTCCAGCGACCCCCATTAGTAGACTCAGACTGTTCCCGAGGATCTGTTATGGCGCCCACTCTTTTGCTGATCTCATTCGGGAGGCTACATTCTGAGCCTTGGCTCATGGATTCAACCGAAGGCGGACAGGTCAGGCGTTCTTCACATGTCCGTCTGCGATCACGCATGGTTGGCACTGTACCGCTTGTGTCGAATAGGAAGGGTGGTGAGTTCTCCTCTAACTGGCTAGCAGAGTCACCAGCCCACGAGTAACTAAATGCACTACGCATTGCGTTCGGCAAAAGAGGAGGATTGAGGACAGAATTTGGCAGTGGGTTTCGACGTCCGATGGTCTTACCTGACAAACGGGAAACAGAGTAGAGCAGAAAAACAACCTGAGAGATACCGGCAAGGAGAAGTACATGCAAAGGAAATTCATAAGTGAAAGGTGCTAACCAGCGAGCTTTCAATCAGTTTAAGCAGACAGTTATTTGCACCTCCATGCAGTTGAACTAGTTACACCGTACAACAATATCATACTCCTATCCGTTGTTTAGATAATCCTAAACGTACTGTATGTGTTGACTTTCCACAGTATACTATTAGAGCGAGGATTGACGTACAACCATAGTCATTTATTTTGAAAAAGATTATTCATAGGTACCTTCCAATGGATAGTCAGTAGTTAGGACGAATGGAGCACGGTGCATGAGCGTCAAGCGCCGGAAACGAAAATGAATTGTTGTAGATTGTACACCCTCATTTGGTAGGAGAAATGTACCCTACTGCTGAACCCCGAAAGGACGAAGTGATTGTTCAATTTTTTTCAAGAAATTCATTCGCTGCATGTCTGAGAGTAGCTGTGACGAATTTCCTTTGAAATGGATAAAAAATGCATCATTTCTCTATATTCTAGAACAGTTTCTGTTACTTAGTCGGAGATAGCGTCTAAAAGTTGTTCGCTATTCATAACGTATGCGATGACATATTTCAATCCTCCTGTGGTGCGGCGTTTCAACAAGTTACTCGTATTCTGAATGCTAACAAACCAAGGCACTGTGCGTGGGTATTTTTGCAGCAACTCTTTTAGGGGTGGTAATTCGACATAATGCATAAGCACATCTCCAGCCGGAAAAAGCGAGCATGCACTCACCACTGCCATCATCAACGATGGTTGCATTGTCAGGAAGCTTCTTGCTCGTGTGGGTCATATGCAATCTTGGATTCTGATTGGCTGAGTGACGGTTGCGACTTCGGCGGGAACTGAACCACATGTTGCACCCCTTTATGGTGCACTTATGCATTTCTTTCAGATGAACTGCGCTATAATGGATCTTCAAAGCTCCTAAAACGGGGCACAGAATGAAACAGCCTGCATTTATGTCAAGCCACGATAACATATTGAGTTACATGCCGTGATTATATATATATATATATATACATATATATATATATATATATATATACAACCATATTAACATTACCATTATGTATGGAGTGATAATTTTATTTTCTGTTATAATTGTGAAGACGGACACTACAAAATGGGTGGATAAATCGTACTAACAAAGTTGTTTGCCGCGCAGTGAGCGAGGAACTTGGATTGCTCAGGTCTTTTCCGTTGACAGCGGTAGATTCCTGTTTCCCAATCATTCTTCTGGAAAGTGATCGAGTTAGGATTTTGCGACTCACAGATCATAAAAATGCTGGTGGCGTGCAAATGTGATCTTTCGATTAATTACGAAAGAGTACTGAATCAAAGCAGCATGAATTTTCGGCCCTAAAGAGTTGAATGCAAAGTAAACGCGTAACTGTGATAGCCTATTCCTCATTTTCAAGTTGGTCGAAAATGTAGACCACCATTAGACTAGGTTAGTTTAGCCTTCTGACCAGAGTTCAGCTGACCAGTAAACTGGCTTTAAATTCAAACATCTATGCAGAAACCACCTCAGCAGCCATCAATATCAGCCAGGGTGAAAGTGCACTCCACTCGCACTATACATACGGCCACGTGTGGAATACACAATACAGATTTGGCACCCATAAGTGAGGAGAAATCTTACCGCCTTGGAGATACCCCAACGCCTGGTAAAAGGTCTGTATAAGTTGCCGTATGAACGTAGGCTTCAAGTGCAAGAGGTCTTCAGCGAACAGTACCTGCGATTGCGCCGGGACCTTATTTTGACTTACCAGATTTGGTGAGATCCCAACTACACGCGCCGCCATTTGTTGGAGCTGTCACAACAGTAATTTGAGAGGCCGCCTTCTCAAGCTGGCAGAGCAATACAGTCGTTTGGAATGTCCACGGAGTTTCTTTCCGTACGCATTTGCAATGTGTGGAATGTCTTGGCGGAATCTGTTATCTGTGCTCCTAGGCTTGTAGAGCTCAAACCTTGAGTTGACCGTCCACTCATTTCGCTGCATCATCTTACAAGGCCCATTACACATGAAAAAACACAAGTGTCTGTAAGAGATTTACCTGGAGGTCACGTCCCAGATTTCGTTCCGTGTTCATCGGTATGTGTACACCAGCAAGAGACGCGATTTTCACCAACATCTCACTTACCATCATTCCTTATAGATTCGCCTTAGCTTTACAGCTTGCACTACGTATACCTCAGTGAGTTCACCGGTATAAACCCAATGTTACTATCAATATTTTGTTACACTTTGAAGTTTCACCATAACCATCCTACGGGGTCTGTTAAGCATTACCTTGTCCGTCCGTATAAAACCATAGTTCATACTTAGGGCGCGTTCGATAATCATAACACTGCATATCGTTAGGTGTCATTAGTACCGAAACTATCCTCGCATGGAAATGGCCCCCTGAGAGTTAAGCGTCGTTTTGAGTTACCTCAAGGTAAACAGAGGACGCAACGGAGTCTTTATCATCTTCTAACCTGAAACAAATATAGAATCCTACTAGTGCTGAAGGAATTGTTGTACTCAAAACCATGGGGTCTTAAATTGACATCTAAATTTAGGAATCAGTCTAAGCGCCATCGAACAGTGAGACTATCCGTTCCGGTGTCGATGGCTTGCTGTGTAACAGACAAGATCATGAGTAACGATGGATCTCACACGAAGCTCTTTCAAGTAGATTCCACTGTTGCCACTGATGCATCTGGTAACAACCGAATGAACATCACGTCACTTTGTGGTATCCTACGAACAAGTGTTACCATATCATGAGCAAGTAGTATAGGGAACCTTTTCAACGAGAAGGTTCTACCATGATCCACAGCAGTAGTTTAAGACAAGGCGAACTCCTAATGATCACATGCCAGTCGTTGAGAAGAAGTACTGTAATGATAGTTCGTGATTGATGCTGCGAAGAAAGGCAAAGCAGGCAACCTCTGAGACAACACTTGTTCCTAATCTTGGTGGCCTGCAGTGGAATGGCCCCATTCGTGCTTAGACCTAATTTACTTGGTAGATGTGCCTTGTCTCAGTAAACAAACTTCCCGAACTCTTAGGTTCATGTAGTAGGTCCGTGAGTGAATACTGCGCACAAAACAGGATACCAAGTTATACACAGTTAAAAATGTTCAGGCTGTAGTAGTATCTGTTGGTATTAAAATCATTTTTCTTCTGACTTCCTGAATGTCCGGCATTAACTTTATTTGTACAAATTGGGTGAATGGAAGCGACATCAAGTAAACATCTTAATGCGACATGTCTGCTCATTTTAGCACTGGAGCAAAGTTAGGCAAGTCAGTTTCGGTGGTTTCGATAAAGCCCGACAACTAGTATCCTTAGTTCATTTATAATGAGCAGCCTCTCTATGACATCCGATACTTAGCACCGTCTCTGATTTATTTTGACAGGTTAACATAGCAATCTAGGTTGCTCGACCGAAACTAGCAATTTCGGCGTGTCACCAGTAACGGTGAGATAGAAAACCGTGCTGACTCTCAAGGTATTTTGATTGAGACAAACAAAAGTTGTGTAGAAACGTCGTGCGCTCATTCTGAGAGAATTAGGTGTGCAAAAACAACAATACCTTTATCGCAGAAGGATTTCTTGCACGTAGTGCACAAGACACGTTTTTTGTTGCGTGATGCGTTTACGCCGGAAGTGTTGCGCTCTTCGCTAGACATAATGCCCCCGACTAAGTGTCCTGTGCGTCTGGAACCGTCCTGCCTGCGTCCATCAGCTCTACGTTTGACCGACTCAGCAGACAGGTTCCTGCCGATTTTCGGTTTGTCCGCCGGTGACGATTCCAACGTCTTTCGGTTCATTCGCAAGCAGTCGGCTTCTACACTGTCTATGGCTGATTCGAAGGTATCCGTGCCGACCGGTGGAACAAAGTTCGGATGAGCATCTGACAGTGACTTGAAGAAGCTCTTCGTTACCTCTGCCGTGCTATCCATTTTTCTTAAGCTCAGCGACTGTGTACTGGTCATGAACTCCTTTTGAATTGAATGGTACTTCGATGTGGCTTGATTGAATGCATCCGCAGTGAGGTCACGTTTCTCCAGGAACTTGGTAACCGATGGCCACATAGCTAGTGAACCTATTTTTGAAAATGCAAATGAAAGCGGCTAAACGACAAGACAACGGAGTGGTGAGAAAATAACATATTTCAAACTAAAAACACCAATATGTGCAGCGGAAAGCAAACATATTCTACATTTATTGAAGCTTTTATTTGTGGTAGTGAGACCAAGAAGTGTGGGTACTCATTTTGAGAACAAAACGGGAGGTGGGGCATCATCAAACTTCATTTTAAAAATGGCTAAACGGCCGATGTACCCAGCCGATAGATAACTGGGGTTGCAATCCTCCACCGACAGGTTATTGGTCAATCTTTTCCTTCACAACGTGCATGCGATCTCTAAAGGCATAGCTCATCGTTAGCTAATTTTGCACTAGGAGTAGTAGCTCAGCTTATCTTCCTAAGCATAACAATACAAAGAATAATTGGGCTCTCTGAAATAGAAATTAAAAGTCACGAACCTTGATCAAACGGAGCCGCAACACCGAGGAGCGGAAGGGCTGTTGCAGGTTTCATCAGTGGATTGTTCATCCAACCTCCGGGGTTGGTCAGCAGCGGCAACACATTCTCCGCTGGATTGGATGAGCTGAGCATAGAAGGTGGACAGTTTTGACCATTTGATCTGCTCCGAAGCACAGCTGCCAAAGCGCCTGCAAGTTGTGGCGGAAACTGAAGACCACACAGGTTAAAAGGCATCCCGCTCTGACCAATGGACCCTAATCCATTCATGCCTTCGCCTTGTGGCCCTGTTGGCCAACACTCCCGTCCATTTATGTTTCTCATGGCCACATTGGGAATCTTGATCGGTTCATGCTCGGAAAAACTGCGTACGCCATCGAAATGTTTCTGATCTCTTTTTGAACATCCTGTACTTAGCCTATCATTTACTACGCGTTGTTCACTTTCCGTGTATTTCAATCGACTTGTGGATTCCGTGTTCTTACCCACTGCCGCCGCAAACTGCGTCTGACCTAGCCAGTTGGTACCTACGGGTATCCCAGCTAGAGCAGCTGCTGTCATTGCTGCAAATAACTGACTAGGACCATTCAACGTTTCTTTGCTTGGCTGGTTTTCTTGTACTCCATCAGTGGCACTCTGCTCTCTTTGCGTCTCAATTTTGACGTTCCTCTCCGCCATCCTTGAATTGGCTACTTCATTACACGTGTCTTGGCTATAAGCGTGCTTTAAAAACTTGGTAGCAAGCTGTTGAGTTGGAACTTTAACGTCATTATTTGGCGATCCCGAGGAGGATGAGGTACCGGAGAAAGAGGAGATTGTAAGTGAACGGGTCGTCGGCGAGGAAGGTGTGGTGGGGGATAGCAAATTCTTTATCTCGGCAGATGATTTAACCTCGATGTTATTCTTACATCGAAAGGATGGAGACAGTAAATCTTGTCTTGCACATTTCTGCGAGGTGGCTGTACGGAACTCTACTTGCTTGTAGGGGGTCCATTGAGGAGCTGAACACAATTTGAAGGTATTTGATTCGCATTGTTCCTCAATCTGCGCAAGCATCACCTGTGCCATTTGACGCGTCTCTTCAAAGCGAAGGAACTGGTATATTACCAATGCTTCTTCGTCTATTCGACACATCTCCCAGTTATCCCGAAGATGCCCATGCATATTCTGGTAATGGAAACAGTAAAGCATACAGCCTTTAGGTAGTCAATAGTGCAGATACGCAAGTAGTCCCTACTAACAATTATGTAGTAGTGGAAAGGCAACGGGAATTTCACCTGGGCACCAAATTGGTCTATCAACTGCGCCATTGGATATCAGTGCCTCTTTAAGGCGGAATAGTTCGTAGTATATAAGTTAAACTGCTGAATGCTTCACGATAGCAACAAAATACTTTATCATGTCATCTGAGTCATGTCGAAGTGTTAAGGTCCGAAAATGCAGCAGACATGTTCCGATAAACATGCCCCGTCCGGTGGCAATGTTGTCGGATTATCGTCCACTTAGTACGAATAGATACATTGGGCAATTTGTCTGACGTAATAAGTTGTATTCTCCTTTTCCTTTTTAACCAGTGTGGGCCGCTGACGCTTTGAATTCGCTGAGAGGCTTCGAGAATAAATCTATGTGTAAAACGCACCTCGCGAGTTCCCCGTAAAGAACTCCATAATACCTGCTGCGAATAGACGCCATCATCGCTGGTAGCGAATGCTGGTACCGTATCACGAGGTTTCACGGTGTTGCTTAGGCAGCTTCAGTCATTTGCAGTAAGGTGTGTCATTTTGGGTAATATGTCAGGACTGCGTCTTGCAAGGGGACATGGAACGATGAGTGTACTCCGAATAGACACGCAATCACTTAAGAATTCCCTTGGTGAAACGTTTGGAACTAAAAACAAATGGGCCGAAGAGAACAGTAGGTGCTGATGTACTTCGCAGACTTCTAATTTGCACATAGTTTTATTAAGCTACGCCTTAGGCAAGTGACTTGGGCTAGAGCACACAATGCAGGTGGAGTAATACATCAACAAAGTATTTTTAAAGTCGAATGACGCGATAGTGAATATAAAGGAGGGCAGAAGAGAGTTTCGTCACCGCCAAACACGAAATGGAAAGAAAAACGTTTCGACCTCATCCCGATCAACTGTACTGTGTGGCCAACTCAAGATGGTGGCGACTCGGTAAGGTGTTGTGACGAATTTGGAATAAATTTAGGCATGAGTGGTCGGAGTCTTTGAGGAGCTGATACGCCATTGTTAAATCATCCCGCGAGCGGCGTGTTGTCCGCTGAAGGCTCTTGTGGTCTTTAGTTTAAAGTTGCAAGGGGAGGGGTTCAACCCCGTATATCTTTTAGTCCCCTTCGCTGTGGAATCTCGAGAATAAGGAAGGCACCCTTCTACCAGGGCTGCCAATCTTGAGTGGCGCATTCCACACGGGTCTCCTCTACTAGTTGACCGTCTGCTAAGAGATAGCTATGTCACAGTAACCATACGCCCTCTGTAAGAGGTTCAAATGTGGGCTAGGTTTTCTCACTGCCTTCTCGGCCAATCTCAACCAATAAGATCATCCTGTACCTGTAATCCGAGGACAGTTTCATGGGGAGTACGCTGTAAAAGTTGCCCCCCTAGTCTATACTCGTTAATGCTGTGATGAGGCATGCTCAATAGTTTACATTTAGCTGCGTTAAACGGAACCGTGATCTAAATAAACCATTCAGAGACCATGTCGATTTCTACTTACGGTGTTAGACTAGTAAACTGTCTTGATGGACTGGTCAAAGCTTAAGAGCATTTGCAGAGTAGCAAACTGAGACAATCACTCGTTTGGACTAGCTTCTGAACACCCGAAAATGACGCACCTGCGTCTCCCATTATGTTATGTGTTCGTGCGTGCGCATAAACGCAAGCTTCAGTTTTATACGTAACTCTCCGAGAGCACCATAGCTCGAAACTAACCTCGCAAATTCAACAGCTATTTTTGTTTTTGTGGTCATCTAGCTGTTAGGACTAGGCGGTTCATTAGCATCGAGGCTGGTGTGTGTCCTTGCCCCATGCGTATAGCGTAGCTAAGCACCTTATCAGCACAAATTTTATTATATCTTTCACATTGCACGCCGCTTTCGATAGCCGTCGAGAGGGATGAGACAAGCACATGTCTCAATTTCTAGGAATTGGTGACTTACTGTTTTGGTCTAACTATACACCACATCTTAAAAGGCCTGCGGCCTTAAGCGGGCGTATGGCGTCAGAATTCGACCGGGCGGCACCATGATGGGCCAGTGCCAAACCTAGGTAGCAGCTGAATGAGTTTTTCAAATAATGCATCACTTATGCAGCTAGTTGAAACACCCTAAATTAACGTCGATTGGATGAGATCGCACCGTCTCCTCTGGACCTCTGCACTCTTCTTCATATTACTGACACATAATTTGGATAGTAAATTAACACTATAACAACCAGCACAAACTTCAGTAGTGATGTGAGCGAAAGATTGCAATGATCAGTCGGCCTGATAGATACGTCTCCTTACCTGATAAATAAGCGAAATGCAGGGTTACATCGAAATGGAAACTACGCTATATCGTAGTCAACTCTCAGTCATACAGATCCGCCGCCGTCACCCATAGCTTAGTTGCACAAGCTGCTACCATCCGGAAGTCAAGGGGTCGGCACTCGGCAGGGGTCCGAGGAACGCACACCACTGCCGAAACAGCTGTCTGGTGCTTTTCCAGTGGTGTTGCAACCTGCCTAACTGAGACGGAGCTACGACGAATCACTTCTGGTATCGTACTTAAATCCCCACTGCTCATAGGTAATATGATATAATTTACTTGTAGTTTTTCAAAGCATTCCACCGGGTCAGTCACTTCGTTCTCTTCCGAAAGCTTGCTGCCTACGGTGTCAACAATTCCTTGCTCACCTGGTTGGAATGTTCCCGCACGACAGAATAATCAAGGTAAGAATAGCAGACATTCACTCTGAGAAACCGTGCGTCTCCGATGGCTTACCACACGGATTCGCCCTCGGCCCGCTACTGTTTTTAGTCTACATCAATATCTCCCAGCAAACATTCTATACCGAAACCAAATATTTGCAGTTGATGCTAAGATATGGAGGGCAATTCGCTCAGCATCCAACCTTGTCTTTCTTCAGAACCATCTGGACCGGATTAACGAATAGGTAGGTAGGAACCACCTCCCACTGAAAGCTGCAAGGTGCCACCTGCTGACAGTGCGTAACAGCTTCAGCAACATATATCTTCTTGGACAGCATGTTTTGCAGTAGGTGACTAGTGAACGAGACTTATGCATCATCGTTCAAGAGAGTCTTGATAATTCGCTCCAATATTCGAAAGTAGCGTAGGTTGCAAACTTGTGCTTGAAGCTTTTGAGGCGAGCTCTCGGTACATTTGAGCAACGGCTAGTACCACTGTCGAACGACATGTATCTTCGTCCCCACGTTGAATATGCGGTTCAGGCTTGGCGCTCGTGATTTTAACGATACCTCCGTCTCTTAGAGAAAACCCAAAGAAGAGCTACCAAGGCAAGACGTGGCCATCCGGTCTCAGAAGTAAAGTATGCTTTAGTTTACTCGGTGTGTTCTCCTCAGAATACCGACAACTTCGCGAGGATTTCGTCCTTACATGCTGGATACTAACTGAAAGCGAACACCCATGTGTGATGGGAATGTTAGATAAGAGTGAGCGGGTGGACCAACCGAGCAAGCCAGACAGCCAAGGGGGCATAACAGCTTCGACTACTGAACTCGGATTGGCCGATATTCATGAGTGATTCACCTTTTGCTTAACTGAAACAATGGAGGGACTTCATCGACTCAGAAGGATCGTTAGTTATAGACGTGAACGTGTAAATTATATCGAGGGCTTTCGCTTAACAATCATGCTGTAAATTTCCCCGACTTGACTTTGCCGAATAAAAGCTTATCTCTGAAGGAGTGAGTTCTGCAACACCATCACTGCAACACACATCACTGCTGACCATATCCCCTTACAAAAAATGTCGATGCCATCACCTGCAACTAATAACGCAACACTCCCGTTTTGACTGTGGAAAGCAATTCTACTCTCTTAAAATATGTTCCCACTAGAATGCACTGCAAACACATATGGTGAACCCACCAAACATAGCGACATTCGAAAGAATATTAGACATTCATATTAGCGCTAAACGCTCCAAAACATTGTGAAAACGTGCGAAGGATAAACTAGTGATAATTCACGTTCCACGATGGGACCTTCTGCTTTAAATTTTCTTTTGCCATATCCATCATGTGAGCCATGTAAAGCTATGCTTTTTTCCATCATACACCCCTGAACCATTGAACTATCTGTTTTCCCTATGTCGATGATGTCAAGATACTGCGAGCGATTTGTGGTCAAAAAGGTCACGGCTTACTTCATTAAGAAGTGCAGGCTGGCTCCAAATGGTCGATGAGGACATTGTCTCCGTTTAACGAGGACAAATGCGAACTGGTCCAGCCAAATGGCGTATTTGGTTCTGGAGACCACTACTTGAGTGAATCTTTCAGCAACGTAACTTCAGGTTGGTAGACCACAAAGATCTCAGCTTTTGAAAGTGATCCGTGAAACTTGAGAATACCGGGAACCAACACTAAGAAGCAATGTTGATGATGTTGAATCTGCGATGCAAATATTTGTAGATAATGCTAAAATATGGAGAGCACTTCGCTCAGCATCCGACCGTGTATACCTCCAAGAAGATCTGACTCGGATTAACGAATGGGCAGAAAGGAACCAGCTCCCACTGAAACCTGCAAAGTGCCACCTGCTGACGGTGCGCAGCAGCTTCTTCAACACATACTTTTTGGGGTGACACGTCCTGCAACACGTGACTAGTGAACGAGACTTAGGTATAATCGTGCAAACGAGTCTTGGCAATTCGCTCCAATGTTCGAAAGCAGCAAGTGTGGCGAACTTGAACTTGAGACTTTTGAGGCGAGCTCTCGGCACCTTTGAGCAACGGCTAGTACCATTGTTGATTAACTCCCATATACCTCCTCACTTTGAATATGCAATTCAGGCCTGGTGTCCATGGTTAAAACGAAACATCCGCCTATTGGGACATCCCCAAAGAAGAGCCACAAATGCAATGCGTGGGCTATCCGGTCTAAGTGACAAACTGCGTCTTCGTGTATTCCGTGTGTACTCATTAGAATGCCAACGGTTTCGCGGAGATCTCACTCTCACATACCGGATACTAACTGAAAACGAGCATCCATATACAACACTGTTGACTCTAGCCCCTTAGAAATAAAGCCGAGTCAACCACCTGAAACTAATAACACAACACTCCCGTTTGAATTGTAGAAAGTATTTTTGCTCACTTAGAATCTGTTCTCACTGGAAGACATTAGCAAGATATATGGTGAAAGCACCAGACATGACGACAGTCGAAAGACTCTTAGATTTTCAACTTATTGATAAACGCCTCATAATAGTTTGATAAAGTGAAACGATTTAATCACTGATACTTCTGTTCTACGTTGGAACATTTTGATTTTAATTTTCTTTTGTATATCTGTCCTGTGGGTCTCGTAAACTTTTGCTTTTTATCCTATCATACACTATTGAACTATTGACCTATTGAACAACTACTTATAAATGTTAGAGGTTTGTATGTGACCCCATATGAAACGCATCATTACAACCTGGTAATACTGATACAAGGGCAAACGCGATGCCCTGGAAACCCGCGGTGAAGCGTAACCGGGTGTGATGGAGATTTACTCCATCCATCAATCCCAAGTTAGACTGAAAGTCCTGGGAGTGTCCATCGGATAGTACTTGCGTCTAAAATATGGTCTTTTGGTGACTGACCAACTCCTGAATTATCCCAACCCCGTTTGTCATCACTTCCTGAAGCCTAAGCGCAATACCACACCGAGGAGCAATCAGTTAACTTTGGCCACACAGTGCAGCCAATTTAATTGTCGCCGGAATATCTGTTCCTCCGAGTTGCAAGTTGTATCATTCCTGCACCCATGTTATCCACCTCTTAAAACGATGCATTATACCATTACTCCATACAATGGCCGGTAAACCCCAAAAACTTTCAGATTTCCTAGTCCGTAATAAGCATGGCTGGATGACGGTTCATAAGACAGTTATCAAGTTTCTATGGTCGAAATAATTTCAAGGTGAAGAGAACCAGGTGCAATATTTGGTGATAAAACTTACAATCTAACGGTTAGCCGTATCTCTTCTGGATTTATCCGGCACTGCGACGGCTGTAAACCACGCACAAGATGTTTGAGCATACGAAACCTACTGTAACTTCCAGATTTTACAGTGGAACCTCAATTAATCAAAGTAATTTGAAGGCATGCGAGTTTGGGTCTTCGCATCCACTCTCCACTTGTTTCGTCGTGAATAGTTGACTTACCATGACGACATTTGACCTCATTGGTACTGCAAAGAGTTCAGTGATGAGATTCTACTAGGGTCAATGCATATTTCATAAGCGTGTGGCTCTTTTGCGTCACTATCTTGTGGATCCTTATCCGTGTACAGTTGCACACTGAGTGCACCCCAAGTGTGCGTGAGACATCCATTAGAACGAATCACCTTTTTATGATGAAGTCAATGTCTAGCCCTAGTGAAGTCAGAAGTAATGTGCTCTTTGTCATTAGGAGCACTGAGTAAAATGCTCGTGATATCAGTGGTCGAAACGGTGGAACCGAGAGGTTAGAGATTCAGAGCCGGATAAGGTGTAGTGCAGCAGTAATATGCTTCCACCGCGCAGGATCAGTGACTTGATTCCGCACAGGTGACCCATCTAACCACGACGGAACAACACAGATTTATATCTTCTCTCTAATTTCGGTAATCAGTATTCAGGATTCTGAAACAACGCATGGAATGCAAATGTAATCGACACATCTAGCGACGATAAAGATCAGCATGCTGCACGCCAAGCGCACAGTGACTCGACCCACACCAGTCAACACCAACGCTTGCAGATCGGATGTTTAGGAAATGTGCTGTCGACTTACTCATCCATCTGGAAAATGAAACCCCTGGTGAGATTTCCGCTTTGTCTGTAAAACATAAAGCCTAGTGTTTTGCGCAGCTACAACTAATCTCACCTCTGCCGGCTAGACAGTTTTGCGGTTTTTAGCACTGAATCCCCAAAGTTATACTCACCGTTAGCATGTACCCACGACTGTAATCTTGGAATGTCCATCCAAACGGTAACAATAGGCGTACCACATCCGCCTGCATAAGTTGTGCCGAAAGAAGGCGATCCAGTAGAATTTTAATACGAATGGGGATAGCATGACAGCCGAATAGTGTCATGCTCATAATCTCAAACGTCACGCTGAACATGATAGATGGATTGGTTTGATTACTTTCGGCGCTGATGGTAGGATCGGTCAACTTCGAAATTACTGGAAAGTAATGGACATAAAACAATCAGCTCATCCGGCGAAACATTTTAATGATTGTCATTAAGTAAGGTTAACAGAAAGGACAGTGCTTGCGAGTGACTTGGTCAAACCGACACGTGAACGAACATGATGCTACTATGAGGTGAACATCGTTCACGATTATGTAATTCTACCAATCCGTTTTCAAATAATTTCCGCACAATGGCGGTTTTAATTTGTAACGGGATTCTTCTCCTTTTTGGTATTTGAGAAGCTTCCTGCTCTTACCATACAGGACTTGGTGGAGAAACAAAAGGATCTCGAGTCAACTTTTAAGTAGCCAGTCAAAATAAGATTTATTGAAGCATTTAGACAACTTTTCATACTTCGTTATAGTCCCGGTTTTACATCGGATTATATCAAAAAAGTGATAATGTTTTGCGTAAATGTTCGAATACAACTTCTATCGTTAAAGAAGACGACACAACCGTATTCAATCAGTTTTGTCTTCTTCGAATGGATATGAAACCTAACCACCAGTGTGGAAACGCTTCTCGGGAAACAAATGTCTTGCAAACAGGTCGCCTTGTGCTTACCCATTAACTTATACATACTTGCACGTATCCATGCCCCATGGTAGGGAATCGTCCAATTGTCTATCTTTTTTGGTGTCCTGCACATCGGCTAGCAACGATGGGCACCTGTGTTCAATGTCCAGCTTGTGTCGAACGGTGGGACAAAATTCCTTGCTGTTCAAGGTAGCAATGTGACCGAGCGAGGGTGAACCCAACTATGCGTGTCAACTTGTTCCTCACGGACGTTTTACCGCGACGCACAATGGAGAGGACAAAATGCGATCAACCTGTTTATGGCAATGCAAATTAGTGTCTAAAACAAGAATGTTCACCCAGGTTGTCTACTTGTCCTGCCCGCGTACGTGTATGCATGCGTGCACCTTCACGAAAACATTAGGGCAGCGGAATCTGTTAGGTGAACAATTTGTGGACTTCACCAGTGAGGCAATTGAGGAGCAAATCAATGCTGTCTCGTGCTGTTCATTTCCTTACAGTAAACCTGTTTGAACTTCAGGCGGGACAGCATAAATGAAATTTATCCTCGTGGCCGGCCATGAATTTAAACAAGAGAAACCGTAAATGTGACACAACTGCACGCTTTGCTCTTCCCCGTTGTCGTGGAAGCATGGCCGAGCGGTTAAATAAAGGTTGAAGGAAATGGTGTCTAAGTTCATATAACCCCATCAACCAACAATGGTGGCTTTCAGAAGTGTGATTGTGGGATTACTGCTTACTAATGTGAAAATTCTACACATAGAAAACGAGGTAGAAGGAAAATTTAGTCGCCGATGAGGGAATAAACTTGTGACCACATTTGAGGAGGAAGCGCTTGCCTTAGAGTTTTATTTTTGTCCGTTGTAGTGCAAGCATTTCCGATCTTTCAATGGCATCCACCCGTCTCTCTCGTTCTTAAGGATCAGCAGCAGTTCACCTACGGAGGGGTTCGAATTAACACACTTTAGTGATCAACGTCTTTCATCCAGATCAATTCGTAGTGTTTATTTGGGTTTATTAGTTGGTGCTGTCTTCCTACACGCTTGACTCTAGTCCCTTGTTAATCGGTAAGTAGAATGAAATTTTGAGAGCTGTGTTGGGTTACATATTACGTGTTGGAACCGTGACAAGTATTCTCAACCCTAATAAAGCAATACTCACTGGTATGAAGGGTACTGTATTACAACTCACGTTTTGAGATTATCTAACTAATAACACCTCACGTTACCGCAAAATCGAAGATTGGTAGGAAAGTGTGTTCGTTTTGAGATGTTGCAAATGACGCTTGATCGATTTGTTTGTACCAGCAATGCTGTTCCACCTCGACCGGGGCACACATAAATGGCTTACGCCAGAACTTGCCGCTTGGTGAAACAGGTGGTACTGATTAAGATGGTCCAAACGCTTGCCCCTCGGCTTCACCGTATGAGCACCTGGGGTAGACGAGCGCCTAGAGCTTCCAGCAGCAGAAGTGAGGAATTCGTAGTAAAGTAATGAGCAAATTCAGTATTAGACGCATCTTCATTCCAAGATGCCGCAGGTATGGGGAATCCGGCTGATAATCAAATCAGTACGCCCGCTAAACAGTACTGCGGTGTCACTTTCTAATATACAATCATAGTTCAGTCTTGTCGATACAATTTCTAGGGATCCGAGTGATCCACTTGACTCCTGCTACTAGCACACAGATGGATTGTGGTCCTTGTAAGTGTGAAAGAGCAGTATATCTGAATACGACTCTCTAGTTATTTAAAATCAGTGAGTCCAAGAGCCTATCCATATTGTTATGGACCAGCTTTTGAATGGGTCTACTGGAGTGCCTACCGTAAATGGTTTTTCAAGTTCCATGGAAAGGGCAGGCAAGAATCCTCATTCAACAAAACAGACGCAATTTGTTACTCGTGACTAAGCTAGAAAATCCCCAAAGGAATGGGAACACTTGGTAATGATGTCGCGGAAAAACATTGCAGTCTCATTCGTTCTACTTGCACAATTTAGAGATTAGTGGTGAATCGGTGGCGTTGACCAGTCGGATCGTTGCGCCAACCAAAGGAGACGAGGTGAAAATCGATGGACAATGGTTTCGGTTGCTGTTACAGTAGCTGAACATACCTGATGGTTTCGAGTGAAACGTCCTGTGAACAAATATCGAATTTGATATCCACTTGGTGTGAACCACTACTGCTGGTTTACGGTTTGTGATGGTCACATTACAGACAAATAAACTAGGATGACCTAGCTCTTAAGGGAATTTTGTTAGTCAGATCTTCCTGGTTATTAGCACTGATGCAGCCCTAATATGGAATGCTATGTATTACATCCTTTTGACTGCGGTTAAGTAGTTCCCTTGAGCTTCCAACAAAGGAGTGGCAAGGTGCTTAGCAGAGTGCACCTTACGATATGAGTAGCAAGCGCTCACATGCGGAGCAGAACACGCTAACACATTATTAGATGAGTGAGGTGATATAAAATTACCAACTTTCCTTTTTCTTCTTTTTCAACTAAAGCATACAGCCCCTGTGATTTACACTCTGATACTCCTTGCTATCCTAAAGACTCCTTCAGGACATTCTGCTAAGGAACTCAACAAGAATGCGCATACCCGTACTGCGCAGAATCTGAAACAACGCCGCATCTATTGTCAATCTTTGGATGATAAGGATGACTGAGTAGAAGACGGTTCGCCACATTTTAAACCCTGCACTAAGACATAAATCCGTAGATACCAACGAGTAATTAAATTAGCTAAAAGTATCGAATGTTAGTCAGCATAAAATTGAAAACTACAAGAAAATATGATCCACTCCTCAAGCACGATAATTTCGGGATACCTTTCTTCCCTGTCGTACCTTAAAAATAACAATGATGTAAAATCGTTCACTTCCTTTGTTCTGTTGTTAAAAGCAGGGGCAGGCTCTAACGCGTGGTCTTCGTAGTACCTCCAAAAGGAAAGAGGAGGGTGTGTGTGTATCTACAGAATACTTGTTCTCTCCAGCTTTACTGTAATTGGTGATCCGCCAAGGAGTCCCATTCTCTAGCTGACCAGAAGGCCCACATAATGCATGTGACATTTACTAGTTCCAACGTATAGAGAATAGTTTGCTATCCCCCATTCGCAAACTAGCTACTAGTCTTTGTGAAACGCTGCTGTTGAGTACAGCCCGGTTGACACTAGTCTACTAGTGTAAAGAAGGATCACAGCTATATGCCTTCAAGGCCCGTTTAGATGACACCTCGGTACTTCCTAAAAGAGAGATACATTTGGGAGTTTTTTATGCTGATAGCTCCTAAACACACTACATTGTACCACCGGCTTCTTCTTTGCTTGCACCCTACAGACATGTGTAGCCTATTCCGGTAGTGGAACCAAGTACGTACTGACTGACGGTCGACGACCTGATAACGGGAGTAGTTAGCTTCAAAAAGTAACTGAGGGGACATGTCACCAGTGTATTTAGGCTAGTCCTGAGTATGTTTAGGGGTTATTTATGCTTGTAACAAAGGATGATGTAACTTCGAGACCTCCAATGATTCAACGCACTCTTCACTAGCAGTGAACATTTTACACTTTACCAACTTATCCCACCGATTTCTGCTCATCGTAAGCATACAAAACTGTTGTAGTGATCATGTGGTTTAAGTGTACGCCGCATAGGTTTGCACGCGCACAATGTGCCCTTTGAAAGGCAAACCTACATGTCCGGGAGTTGGCTGTTAAGAAAATTTCGTGTAAAGATGAGTACTGAATTCTACAACTTTGTAGCAAAAAGCTTACGGTATCACGAATATAGGTTGCTCTAGTGTCAGCAGTGGAGGCCATGGTCTTTTGGACCTGCGATGCTTACAGTTCTCGCTGATACACCACCGCGAAAATGATACGCCGTGCAAAATCGTTCAAAGTTTAGTTCATTACAATAGCGGTTGCACCAATTATGTGAAATATAAATATGGGCACAAGCTATCGCTAAACGCGACAAAAGTCGTTTAACTGGTTCGTGATGAGACACCCGAAAACACTGTTGCTTTTGTTTGAAACCGTCACTGTATGAATGTACGGCGAAGTACAATATCAAGTTGGATATCGATTCTCTTTGAACCGAACCTCCATCAGTTCGGGTCTTTGGACAGTATCTGAAACTAGTGAATGCCAGGTATTGCTCGTTCCCAAAGCTGCAGCTCAGGATAGGTTTCTTGCTTATTTACACCAGTTAGAGAGGTAGCCAAACTGGAAAGCAGGCTAGGCGCATAAAGACTGTCGCCCGATGCCGTCACCCCTTCACAACCCAGCACGACAAGTAACACTTGTCACAAACATCGATAACCGGAGTCGGTTTTCCTTGATGTCCCTAAGACATGACACAAAATCTCAACTGTGAACATAACCGGTCGCAGAGTGCACTACGGGGAGCGAATAGCACTTGATATCCACCATAACCGTCAGGTCATGTGACTAATTTATTTTTCATCCAGAGCCTTTTATCAGTTATTAGCTTGGGGCAATGCTATCAAGATTGAGTAAAAACAAGACTTTTACTTATCTCTGTACTTGTGGAAAAACGAAATCCTAAAACATGGGGAGCTTCTCCACTTACCATGCATAATCCATGTGTGACCACAATCCGAGCATCGACGCGGTCGGTTCACGTTCGGCTGGAATTGTTGACAATCACAAGCAGCGCCAGCGCAGCGTGTAGATGCAACCGGCCCGTCCCTCTGAAAGGTACAGGAGAAAAGTGCATTCATTGGGCATGACCAAACCAGGGCGTCAGCACTGGTCATTTTGTCCGACGGGTTACAGGCCACGGCTGGCGGTCAGGCGTTAGTGTATGAGCGACGCTCATTCAGTGGTGGAAAATCAATACGGTCAAATGCAGGCTTGAATAACTCCGAATAAGTCCTAATCACATATACGCTAGTCGTAGCCTATATGAGGGACAGTCATACTAACCAAATCGATTGATCGGTCTAAGGACCATCGGGGCCAGATGAACTGCGCAATAAGTCAGTACCAAATAGCACCGTGACATAGGTTTAGAGTGAGCTATTTTGTCAGACATACTATACAACCGCATCTCCAACGGACTCTGCTAGGTAGTTATCGGGAAAACATGTAACTAGGAAGAATCGCGAGCAAACAGCGCTCTGCAATCCATCCTGGCTTAGGGAATCCCCTGTCTAACCCAGTAGACACCTGATACACCGTTAATAGGATAACATTAAGGTCAGGCCTGTGCAGAAACTCGCAAGGTTTAATCTTCCAGTGCAAGATGAACATCCTTTATTCAGTTAATTTCAGTCATTCCAATTCGGTTGCTATCTGATCCAATCAGCTTTTTCAAGCAACCATGGGTAATACATTCTTTACTCGATTAGGGTACAAACGTCATCATATTATTCTTGGTGGTCGCCGTTCTAACGTGGCATGGCGTTGCCCATGGGGATAACGAGAGACTGAACCTTCTATGAAACATTCCGATTATGCAACTTCCTTTCCAGCAATTACGCATTAAAAGTTTGGCTGTGGTGCTGCTTTTCCCTCTGCAAGGATTCAGGTACTTGCATACCACGCTGACTTGTGAGTACTGTGCGACAAATGTACATCAGTGGAATTTCCCAATGTTGTCGGAATTTTCAGTCACTTAATCAGCGCTGGTAGAGCCTGCAGTTCACGACCATTTTGTCATCCCCACTAGTAACCTATGACACATCTATTCGATTGCTAAAATAGGTTTCACCTGTATAACTCATTTGGACCTATGGTGCAGTGCCAGTCAATTGATTCTAGATAGTCTTCAATTGGATCCACAAGTTCAGCAAGTCCATCCTGTTGCCATTTACATGATCATCGACGGTTTCGATGGAACGGGAGAATTCGGTGTAACAAAAGGAATTATCATAGCTCCAATGAGAAAGCATAGGACCGGCTGCCACTGTTAACCTAGTCTCTTTTCCATCCCCGAACAAGCGGTTGAGTGGCTCACCAAGCTGGCCCCTTATCCAAGTGATATAATCACTACGTGAAACTGCTGCAATACAGGGATGACGAATCGCCTACAGGCGCCCAAAAACCAAACAAATAACCCGTACTTCAGGATTACAATTTTTTCAAATTCTCAAACGTGGCTCCATTGTACTCAACAGTTTAACGACCTAATATTGCAATCTGCCAAACGTTCCACAAGTTTGTCTTATAAGCAACTTTCTGGAATACTAAGTTGCCGTCCTATCCTATTTTTTATTTCGTAGTTATCTTGTAAGTTAACTATTAAGCATCAATGGTTTTGGCTAACTCTAAAATAGCTAGTATTCTGACAATTCATCCTATATCGTAAGATTGTGGGCAGTTCACCTCGAGAACATTTGATCTGTTAGGTTGCCAGGAACAGGTTGGTCGCTAATTTCCGGAATTTTTCACACAAAACGGGTGGGACCTTCGGATTCTGCATACGAGTAGCCACCAGATAGTTTTGACCAAACCTCCGACTTGGCCAGCTAAACTACTGCCATATTGCACAGACTATAGACCTATCGGACGATATATGTTTAAGCGTCTTGTTGTACTGTATCTAGAAGAAGATGAACTGGGTAGAACAGGTTTTTACTAGCTTTTCCCGGTTGTCCAGTCTTTTCAGTTGAAGCTGACGCACGACACTTTTATAGACGAACATTGGAACACAGCTGACAAACTACTTCATTTCCAAGAGTAGCAGGATCGAAGCACAAGTCTAAAGGGTTATGAAAAACACTATTCCATTGGTCGAAAACGTTTCCATGTCCACATACGCTCGTTTACATTTGTTTTATCTTCCTTACCTAATTTGATGGCACAGTTCCAGAGTAGTCTCGATGCTGTGAGCATGTGATACAGCCAGCTTGTTAAGTACCTTCACTACCCAATGCTCACTCGCCACCCAATCAAAGTGCATGCCATTCATGCGGGATCCTGATTAATTCGCACAGTAACTAGCTTGATACTGTAGCGTCGTCTACATCGTGCACACTGATCTGCAACGGAGTTGTCCCCCTTAAATCCGTACAGTCCCAGATGATAATGTGTCACTGTAGCGCAAACCCAGAGGACATGTAACCACAGAACTGCTACTGCCCACTTTTGGTTGTGTCCAAGTAAGGCGGAATATATTGTGTAACGGTGAAGTATGCAATTAAAACACGAGCAAGTGACTAGCATGAGTCCTTCGAACATTCATTACAGACGATCGCTAGCTAATAAATGGAATCGACTATTCAGCCGTTTGTGACCTTACATAGTGGACGGTATTCCGGCTACGCTACATAGTATGGTAACATGAGTCACTGTCGGTATTTCAACGGATGACAAGCTCGGTTACGTCGTAAGCCGCACTTGAAGCTGGAAGGCGTGAAAATTAGTGTTTTGTCACTAAACTCCTTTTATCTGGAATTCAACTTTGAAGTGAATACCTCGCATAGCCTTCGCATAGTTGGGGTTTTAACTGCCTTCTGATAAACAAGAAACTCAAGGAAAAACTGCAAACGTGACCGGTTCAAGCGGTTGAACTGCACGTTGTCGCTGAATGCATTGTGGATAACTGCATGGCCATTAGAGGCTTGCAAACACCGCCAACACGGTATTCGCTTTCTCACCACACACACACACGCAGGTCGCGTACGCCGTTGTCATGCTTAGGAAAATTGAAAGCATCAGTTGACCGTAAACAGCTGTTTTTAGTACCGTGACGAAAAGGAGATGCACACCGTCTTAATGTCTTCAGCTTGGCGGCGAAAATTCATGAGTTGGAAAACTTCACTGTGCATGACAGCACCAAGTTCGTTTGACAAACTAATATGGACTTTATGATGAAGGCGGTGAACATGACCCTGGACGCAAAGCAATGAACATTTGGGAAAAGACACATTTGCCCACTGTCCAGGACTGTAAATGTGCCACGGTCACTAACTCCAGCGCTGGGACGTTCGGTGACACTTGTAAATGAAGCCAAGCGGGGCGGTTATGACAGACGGATGGGCGGGTGAACGGTTTACTTTCACTCATGACTGGATGAAGGGACATAAGTTACGTGATTGTTCTTGCTTGGTTGGGCTTGACATTTTGTCATTGTCTCCTAGGGTTAATACTCGCTCGCAATGCACGTGGCCATGCACTTAGGAGGGTGATGAAGAACCCCACAAACTTGTCGCCACAAAGTCAGCACTTATTTTGGACAGTGGAACGTTGAAAGTCACACGACAGTTGTGCTTTCACTGTTCTGAGGTGAATTCAGCAATGGCCGATCAAGCTGGCAGTTAAAGCAACTTAAGGGTTTCGCAGCATGTTGACTTCTAATGACAAGCGCTCATCAATTCTACGTTATTAATATTTCTTTTACTTCAGTACTAAATAAATTTGTACCAAAATAAACCTCAAATGTGTGAGTGACCCCACCATCGATCCTTATCACACTACAGCGTACCGTTGCATGTATGAAATTCAATAAGATTCGTTTCGAGCAAAAAGTACCCCAACTGATATGTTCTCACTTTGTTTCGGGTGTATATCGTATGGCTTCCACAATAAAGGTTAAATGGAGCTAACCCAAAGTACCACTCATTACGACGGCGCTCTCGGCCATCAAAACCAGAGAATTCATTGCAGTCTGCTTCACATCCGCATAGAAAAGCGGCTTTTAAAAATCCTGTGGACCAATCGCTTTTAGTGAGCTGGAAAAGTGCTGGCATTCATGAGCCAAACGTCATTGTTGAATGTCTGTTAAGATGGCTATGTAATTTAACCCACTAGTTCTGTTTTCACACTTTGATACTGGGTGACACCGGGCTGTCGACAAGCCTGCACCGTCATATACCTTGTTTGTGCGAACGGAAGCGCAATAAAACACAGGCCGAAACAAACTTGTCCTAGGGACATGTGTAAGGTACATGATATCCGTCGATGAAGCCGACAGACACAAACATACAGACAAAACATATGCATGCGTTGCGCGGCAACCAACCAGCGCATATATATATATATATATATATATATATATATATATATATATATATATATATATATATATAGGCTTGTTGCATGCTGCGTAGCGCATGCGTATGTTTTGTCGGATTATAGTATGCGTACATTTACCCACATGGCGTAGCTAGTTGATCACCAGTCCCATAGTAGCGTAAACCAACACAATGGGACAGTACACATTGAAGTATGTTTGTGTCTGTCGGCTTCATCGACGGATATCATGTAGCTCGTACTTGTCCCTGGGACAAGTTTGTTTCAGCTAGTGTGTTTTATTGCGCTTTGGGATCTTCCGAAGGTGAGAAGTTCGTTAATGTCCACCGATGGTTGCCAGGACAACCTAAAGGTAGTGCTGTTGCGCTTAGATTGTCACGCAGTTCTACAAGACGAAGCCTCAGATGAAGTGGCTGGATCGTGAAATTAAAAAGATGCACACGTGAAGAAAAGCACGTGTACCTCAACCAACCACTAGGCAACACTAGATGGATTTCGTTCTCCCCAACACCCATCATGTGCAAAAACCATCGAACGGCTGAGCGAGTTACCGGGCTTCGCACTTCATCCTACTTTTTGGCGCGACCTACCTAATGAGGAGCTCAGAGCACGAGTATCCGTGCTGCATGTCCTATCATCTGCAAATTATTCGTTGCCGATCAACACCGAGGTAATAAACAATGATTTGATGTTGTGTAAGGAACAACCCTAAGTG